GTAAATTATAGGCTTTAATTTGAGCCATTGAACGTTTGAAGCCTTAAGTCAAGATAATGGATTACTCAATCAATATCATGGATTTGAACATTTCTTGGATATTATAATTATTTTAACGCTGCAAGAGTAGTATGGTTCCTCTCAGGGCATACAATAACATGTTAACTGGGCGACACAAGTGTCACCCAGTCCTGAGATTTTGTCGCCCAGTGACTATGGGTGGTGCCGGCATATTTTTTTAATGGTCCACATTTTAAATTTATCGGAATTTAAAAAGTAACATTAGGTAAATATTTTAGAGTAGGGTATTTAGAGTAGGAAACTTATCAGCATTTAATTATTGCAATGGTTCTACGCATCATCGACTGTTTTTACTTATCCTACATTCATTTGAAATTAATCACTAAACGGAGTTAATAACGGCAATGTTAAAAACTAAGAGTAGTTTTGTCTGGTAGATGACGTGGATTTTATCATTTGCACTTTGGAATTTTATATATCATTTAACCAGTTGCATTATGAGAATTTTAAATTAAAACAATTGAAACGATTGGTTAATAATACAGTAGTAAGTTTTGGGAAATTGTATGTTATATCATTCACTATTGGATACAGAAGAACTATTGTATTAATAGTCAAAGGTCATATGCGTGTTATAATAACGAGACAAAGTCCGTACATAATGGAAATTGTATAAATGAACGTAAAACTTCACAAAACGTGTGGCGTGACGAAGTGGCGCGGAGGGGGGACGGCAGGTAGTGATATCACTGAATCTAAATATCAAGTAGCATTATCCATCCGTACATCGTTATTTATATACATATATAAAAATTTTAACGAATGGTGTTTTTGGCCTCTGGGGACATCAATAAATGAAAAAGTAAATCGGTCCTGGGTCTAGGTCTTACCATGCCACCTACGGTAATAGCTTACTTCGCTATAGGGAAATTCGCTAAAATTGACACCAAAAATGATTGAAGCAAGAATTATCAATGGTAAGTTTAAAGGAGAAATAGTTTTAATCACATGAATACTGATGATTTCATCCGAATTACCCTCTGAATTTAAGAAACTAAAATTTCCTTTGTGTCTTGCTTTCGCAATAACCATTTTAAGACACCAGGGCAATCCCTGACTGTCGTCGGTTTAAATTTAGAATATGCATGCTTTCACACGGACAGCTGTATGTTGCGTGCTGACGTGGTGGTAGGTACGCCTGAAAACTTATATATTTATACACCTAATGAAAAAACAAAAAACATTGTTCATCCACTAGCAATTAAGTAAAATATGTTTTTTTTGTATACACTTTTATTATTCGTCGTAATGAACTAATTGCCATTTAAAATAATATTTGTTAAGTGCAGCAAAGCGCGCCGGGTAACTGCTAGTATATATATATATATATATATATATATATATATATATATATATAAATCTATCTATCTATCTTACTAATAACCTAATTATAAATCTGAAAGTTTGTGAGTTTGTGTGTGTGTTTGTGTGTGTGTTGCTCAATCACGCATAAACTACTGGACGGATTGGGCTGAAATTTGGCATGATGATAGCTCACATTCCCGATTAACATTAAAGCATATTCTTATCTCAAAAATCCTTTCGGGCTCCGCCCCAGTGGCTCTTTAGTTAACTTTTATGTTAACTTTATAATTTTTCATATTTAAAAGGAATTAATGAATCTTAACAGCTGTTTCAATTAAACAAGTTGGTTCTGTCGTTATGTTCTATGATGTTCAATAGCATAAAAGTTACAAGGATTACCAACAGGGTGCAGCACTATTCTTTTTTTTTAATTTATGACAACAGCTAATTTCCAACTAAAAGGCGAGTTAGCGTAGCGAACGAGCTAACCTGAAGGCAAGTGAGCGCAGCGAACGAGCTCGAACCCGAAGGCAAGTGAGCGCAGCGAACGAGCTCGAACCTGAAGGCAAGTGAGCGCAGCGAACGAGCTCCAACCTAAAGGTGAGTGAGCGTAGCGAACGAACTTCAACCAGGACGTGAATGAGCCATGCGAATACTTATGAAGTTAAACGGGGCAAAGCCCGCGGGTACAGCTAGTATATACATATATAACAATTTTAACGAATGGTGTTTTTGGCCTCTGGGGACATCAAAATCAAAAAGTAAATCGGTCCCGGGCGTAGGTCTTACCATGCCATCTACGGTAATAGCTACTGTACTTCCTTATAGGGAAATTTGCTAAATAGAAACTAAAAACTATAAAAGGTACCTATCTAATAACTTGTTGAATTATTTACATTGAACATTATTTTTAAATAGAATATGCAATAATCGTTACAACAACAACTTCATACCTTAATATTTTATACGACAGTCAAAGACTCCACTGTTTGTGATTACGCATTTTTTTGGTAAATAAAAGGTATACAATGCCTAACTCTCCACTGAAAAGGCAAATCCAAATATAAATTATCACCTTGTCAAAACTTTAACATTATTGAACTACCCACATTAAGTTGCAAGGAGAAAACGAGACTGCTGTCGAGTAAAAAAGTGTAAATACTCGAGTATGAACTTTTATTGAAACTTGACCAGTATACCTACAATATGATGAATAAGTTAAATCCTATTTATAAAAATGTATTTCTGCGTTTATGTATTTTAGTTTCTACCTTTTTATGTTGTTTTAACTCTCGTCCTTTTAGTGGGTAGAATAAATAAAGTACAAGGTTTTCGGCACTTTTCTAACAAAGGGCTATTTTTACACATAACAAAAAAAAACTACTGATGTAATCATCATGAAATTTTAACAGCTAATAGAAAATATACTTATAAAACAAATTTATATGTTTTAAAATTTTTCATCGGTAAAAAAAATCTCTTACTATATTTGTAATGGCTTTTAATTGAGAGACGGAACAGTTAAGAAACTCAGCTGAAAGCTTGAATTAAAGCTATTAAAAATATAAATATGTAATTTGATTTGCAAATTATGTGCTAACACATATTTGAGTCACACAGCTGAGTGTGACTCGTAATCCGTGTTTTTCTAATTAGTTTAGTAACTTTCCTGTATAGCTCCAAATTTGAGTATCTAAACTGTATTACAAGTGACGTTGTAGGCAGAATCTGCCCGCATGACGCCACGCGGCGCGGCGGGTAGCCCCTATATTACAATTTAAATTACAACCAAACTACGCCAGCTAAAAATTTTAAAAAATATGATCCAAAAGGTTCAACTCTTTAGCTACAAAATCCACCGTTTTTTAACTTACCTGACCAAAAAATAAAAAAATTAGCAGCCGACGAACTTTTTCATGTCATATTTTAAAACTCATTTAAAAGTACCGACTTTATTTGAAGATTTAAAATAGAAAATACTAACTTTTAAGCTTTTAATTAAAACCAATAGTGTCATAGACTTATTGACTTCACTCATACGAAGTTTCAACCATATAACTTAAGTCTAAGTAGGCTAAATGTCGAGTTATTTTGAAGCGGAACATTGAGTTTTGGGGCCGTTTAATAAGCTGTGGCAACCACTGTAGAGACTTCTGGCTCAGACTGTACCGTTGGAGGTTATGAAATTTGGACATTATGAACCGCACTGTTTATTTGGTATCTTCACGTTGGAGTTTGTGAAATTTGGACATTGTGAAACAGTGATTATTTGAATGTTATAGATTTGGAGCTTATGAAATTTGGAGGTTATGAACCGCTCTGTTTATTTAATATTTAAACGTTGGAGTTTGTGAAACTTGGACATTGTGAACCAGTGATTATTTGAATGTTATAGATTTGGAGCTTATGAAATTTGGAGGTTATGAACCGCTCTGTTCATTTAATATTTTAAGCGTTGGAGTTTGTGAAATTTGGAGTTTATGAAACGCTCCCGTAAAAGACCACCGCAGTACTTCGTCAACATTCGTTTAACCCATTTTCAATTCACTTTACCATAGTCTTAGCCTACCCCACTCGGTTTTTAACTTAATGTACAATGTTCCTGACCACAACTTTAAATAATGACTTGTTTTTCTACAATTATCATAAGTCGTATACAAACCTCTTTTTTAAGTTACAATTAATTGATAATAGCTATTTTTTTAGGTTTTTTTTACCTTCATAGGGAGACAAATTTCAAGAGAAATTGTAGTGGTGTAGTGATCCTATGACAATGGACATTGTACCCATAGTTAAAAATTTACTAACTTAAGTGTAGAAAATTTCCAGATGCTATACAGATGACAGTGCTCCTACCAATTGCCAAATACTGTGTTGGGTGAATGTCAAATTGAGATAGAATATACGTCCCAGAGTCAAACTCAGGAAATCGGCAATAATTTCATTTTGATAATTAGGTTAAATTTAAGCTTAATATATATATAAATGAAAATGCAAAAAAGTAGGTACCGTATTAGAAAAATAACCTAATGTGTGTTATTTGAACCTTCCTTATGGTAGCTCACTGTCCTCAGAACCCATTATAAACGGATAGTACTGCAATTATGGAAAATCATCACAGATATTGCCACGATTGAAGAAATTCAGCACGGATATTATAAAACCAGACTCTTCATCCCAGCCGTTTCTCGTCACATCCGAGTCTCTTCTCTCAAGGCTGCGTCCCGTCCCAAACAAATGCTCACAAATTTGTTCTTAATTCAATACAAATCGCAAAAAGTCCTGTTTTACTGTAGGCCTATAAATAGTTTGCTTTAACATTCATATAAAAATATTATTAATATGTTGAAAAACAGTCATATAACCGAAAAAATAACTTAATTAACTGTACAAATCTATTTTATTAGCCTAATTAAGTTATTAATTTAATTAATAACCTACCTATTAATTTTTATTTTGAAATTCCATTTCAGTTTAACATTTGTTTACCCTGTTCCAAGTTCTGGACTGTCCACATGTTTTTATCTCATAAATTAAAGATTTCTAGTTGATCAAATAAATATAATAAGGTACCAAATTTACTTTACTTTAGATCAAAGATTAATTAAACTTACTTTAAGCTTTGCTAAGTCAAAACTGTGGTCTTTGGAGCAATGAGAAACAGCAGCTTCTACATTACGGAATGTTTTAGCACAAAAAAAGCAATCAGTCATTATAGGGCATTCATCTTCCATCTCGTCCCATTCATCTGACCCAAAGTCATCATCATCATCTTCTTCCATTACATGACATCCGATTCTAAAAAGCAGAAACAAAATTACCAGCTTAGGCCTACACAAACCTAACTTACACAAATAAACAAAAAACTTAAAGGTAGGCCTACATACGGTATACAAGTTGAGTCTAGGTCTAATAGGTACAGAAGGCCTTTTAATACAATTATTTTGTTAGGCTAGGTACCTTACAATATCACTGTTTGTTGTTGGTAAAGAAGCCTACATGTTTTGTGTAGTCGCTGCCAGCCCGACCGAATGTATGCACACACCGTAACGGTTGATCAAATAATTGTCTTGTTAAATGTAAATGTGTTCTGTGATTTCAATTTTAAGTTTAAGACGAAGCTGAGAAGAGGATAAACATGATGATATGGTAGTTGGCACGAAACATGTACTAGGCTAATTTACCAACAACAAACACGGATTTTCTAAGTTAACAAAATAATTTTATTAGGCCTAATAAAGCAATATCCAGAAGTAGAACGATGAAATCTAATAACTAAGGTAGCCTAGGCCTACATTAAAATATAATCAATAATTAATTTAGGCGAGGTTAGTTTTGCACGAGGTTAGTTTTGCACATTGCCAACACACCAGGATGTGAAATTTAACCCTAGAATGGTGTCTTTGATTTTTATCACACATTGTTAGTGTCTTTGGTCTGTGAGACCGTTTTTTTAATTTTTTTTTTAGGTAAATATAACTATATTTATTTATTTATTTATTCCAACGGGAAACCCATTACATTAAGACATTACAAGAAATAACAATAAAAATCAAGGCAAGATGTGATACAAATACTACTTAATCAACAACAACAGCAGCAACATATTAATACAATAAGTCTAAATTCTACAGCAAATAATGTCAACTGGAATATGTAACAATATAACATAACCATACCATTTATCAAACCATTAACAACAAATAAATATTTTCAGATTGACAACAACAAATATATATATATATATACCATATATATAGGCTATATATACTGGGTGGCGCATAAAGAACGCATGGATTTGAGTTGAGTGGTGAGAGCAATAGGAGCGTGGTGGAGGGACTGGGCCTGGTTGTTTTGTAGGTTAGGGTGTCCAGTTTTAGTAGCAATGGTGCAGTGGTCCGTGGTACATCGGATTTTTGCGGTAGAACATTTATTCAAAAGTAATTAAATCTGTTAAAACTGTTCAACGGCTTTTCTGCGCAAAGTTCAATGTTCCGCGAGTCCTGAAAAAAGTACGGTAAGGCCCAAAAATAACGAAAGTTACACCAAACGTTAAGTTTCAAATCGTGCAGTGGTTTTTGATGCAATTCTTTTGGGTATTCTGCTGCCAAATAGTGCCAGTTTTGCTTATTGGCATAACTATCCAAATGAAACTGCGCTCCATCATTAACATCACACACAAAACGCCATCAGTGGCAAGAACATCAACCATTCTCTCAAAACAGTTTCCATTTTCGTAATCACGTTCATAAATCTTCTGTTCGATCATAATTTTGTAAGGATGAAATTTTAACTCGTCTTTCAGGTTGCCCTGCAACGAGCGTCAAGACAAGCACACAGTTGGAGCGCATCGCCTAGTGTAACAGACGCCCTTACTCTGTCGACATTTTGTGGAGTTCGTGCCGTGCAAGGACAACCAAACCACTTCTGCTTCATAACTGATTCAATTGTGCGAAAAGGAGCTATCCAACAAAGTATTGTGTTGCGATCGGGTTTTGTTTTGAGCCATTGAACTATGCACGGAGAAGCCATTGAACAGTTATATCAGATTCATTATTTTTTTAATAAATGTTCTACAGCAAAAACGTGATGCGTCAGGTTGATTGCACCATTACTACTAAAACTGGACGCCCTAACCTACAAAACAACCAGGCCCAGTCCCTCCACGGACGCTTTTATTGCTCTTACCACTCAACTCAAATCCATGCGTTCTTTATGCGCCACCCTGTATATATATATATTTTTTTTTTACTTTGATCATGCAACAATAACAACAAATAAATATTTCAAAAAGACAACAATATAAATAATTTGACTTTTGTAAAACTAATAAATAGGCCTACTGAATTGCTAACAAAAAATATAATCTAACTTATTTAATACTAACAAAGGTACAGATTGTGTCTATATGCATTACAAACTATTGTGTCATTGTCGCAGGCTGTAGAGCTCGTCAGTTGCGACTCTTAGCAGGCTCCTCTTGACTGATGTGGAACTGTCAGCGAAAAAGTCAATGTGGTGTGAGGCTTTGTTCCCAAGTCTCTGGATTCTATTGAGGGTGCTGTTTGCATCATAGTTGGTGCTCACATGCCGTCTTCCAAAAAGGTCGGTAGATCTGGTTCCAGTACGACAAAGGAAACCAATCTGGCCTAGCAGCTCCGGACAGTCCAAGGAACCATTCACCAGCTTGTGCAGAAACACTACTCCAAAAACATCTCTTCTGGATTCCAAGCTTTGAAGGTTGAACAATGGCTCGAGATCTCTAATAGGAACTTCTCTGAAGTCAAACCCCATCCGACAGCCAAGGAGACGTAAGAACCTGTCTTGGATGGTCTGAAGCTCCCAAACCAGAATAATCTGATGTGGCGACCATACTATGCAGTTATATTCAAGCAGCGGACGTACAAGGGCGCAATAGAGTGTCCTAAGAGAGCGGAGGTCATCAAAGTCTCTGGAAGAACGCGCTAACAGTTCTTTTAAGTTTGTTAAGAACTTAAACTAAACTTAACTTAACATGAAAAACATGTTAATTTCGTCCCCCGTTTCGGAGGCCGTTTTTCAACAGATGTTCTTGAAATTTGTATCAATGTAGTTGAATAGTTATATTAGAGCTCTTATACCTCAAAAGGTTGAAAATGAAAAAAATTATGAGTTTTATACGGTAAGTGTTTAACCCTAGCAGTGGCCAATGTTAGAAGTGGGGAATGGCCAACCCATTTGGGCAATTTTGCAGACCTTTTTTGAAAATTCGTAAAAATTCAACTGTACAAGTAAATCTAGCCAACCTCATATTCATTTTGTTCGGAAAGAACAGGAGAATCTAGAAATAGATATATAATAATGATTTAGATAGTGCATTTTTTTCGGTAAAGTGAAAAAAAAATTAGATTTTTTTTTATTTCAAAAGCGGCCTCGGTATTTTTTTCTCTACAGATTTTTTATTGGAAATTCATTATATATACATTTTGTAGACAATCTAATTCCCTACATAGAAAAATATAACATGTTAGGAATATTTTTTTTTTATAAGTTTTTGGGGCGAAATATAATAAGAAACGGAGAACCGAAAAAATTGAAAACCGTACAGTGTTAGTTTGTGTTGTAAAAAGTTATATAATATATTTGTATACTAATATACATGTTTGTAAAGCTAATGAAGTACCTAAGGAATAAAAAAAGTCATAAAGTTTATGGTAAAAATATTTTTTATTTATAAATAAAATAATGTTTTTGTATTTTAGAAATTTTGTGAGAAAAAAAATCATAGTATTTAGTAAAAAACTTTTGTACCAAATGTTTTTACTTCAAACCAACATAAACATCTTGTAGTGTATTCAATTACCTACATAAAAATGTATAACATGTTGGGTAAAAATTTTTGTTTTTACGTGCTAGGGGCATAATAATATAAATAAACGGAAAACCTCAAAATACAACCAAAAGAAAAATACAACCTTTTATAAACACAATTTGACACTATTCAGTAAATATTCATGCATAATAAAATACATGAAGATTACTGTTATATACACATAGCCTACACATTTCTCAAAAAATACGAAATAATAACAAATTTAGTAATCAATCGCGGATAAAACGAGAGCAAAAACTCACCGGCAACAACACGCAATGGCGAATTCAAGGCACTTTGTGTACAAGATCTTGACAGTAGTGACACACTTTCGTCGTATTAGTGAGAGAAACCGAAAATAACCCTGAACGCAGGGCTGCCACTATCACAAGCTACATTTCTTCCTCTTCAAAATGACATATTATATGACTAGTAATAATAACTTACACTGTAGGTAATTTGTATTTTCCATACAGTCACCTGACGACGGTTGGCCATTTGTTATAGCTAAATTTCGAAAACAGCTGTTTTCATAAAATCGTACCGGTTGTCCAATCAGTAGGCTATTTAGTTCTAAAATATCACTACCACAATGAAGATAAAATCAATGGCTATCCAGTGGTACCACCCGCAACATCCCAAGACGAAAATTACCCGAGCAGGGTAATCCTAAACAAGACGTGTTTTGCCAGTTCCCAAGGGTCGGCTGCTTAAGTCGTGCCGCGCCAAAAATTCATTTGATTTCTAATCGTCGTGACATTGTTATATACCTGCTACAGGGTTTGTTTAGGTAATAAAACGAAAGTTCAGAATGTGATCTTTCGAATGGTATATATATTATTCTCATCTGAGTTGATTAGAAGTGTTTTTTTTTTACCGTTAAAATAATTTCGGCCCATACCGTCCCCAGACGACGGCTGGCCATTCTAAGCATCAACGTCAAACCGTCACCAGACGACGATTGGCCACTGCTAGGGTTAAAAGTGGGACTCATATTACGTTAAAGATTTTTTTGTAGGCCTAGGCTTACTTATACGTTTGATTTTCTTGGATATTCTTATATCATGTAACTTATGAGGGCCCTAGAACCAACATTAATCTGTAAGCGGAAAAAGTTTTAACATTAGATCTTCACACATTCCATCCGAAGCGAGGGACGTCCAAGGCATGTTTTTATTGTTTTCGCAGGGGTGAAGAAGACTCTTAAGCTTTCTTCTGTTTAAGTTACCCCATGAGTGAGATAGTGAATTTTAGTGTGTGAATAGTAGTAGGGCGTAAACAAAAACCAAAAAACCAAGATATTTATTGAGAAGAAGAGCAAATCCGGCATAATCAGAAATCCAGAACATGTAGGCTACAAACAATATGTCATTACGAACATGTGACAAGAATCAGGATTCACAAGAAAAGGTTATGTTTGCCGAGATATGTCAACCACGTGAGTATCCAGACTGGAAATTGAGAAAGTTTGAAGCACGAATAAGTAGAGTAAAAAACAAATACTTACGATGAATGTTTGTCTCCATCCATGTTCTGTGTAAATTAGTATTACCCCAATTTGTAAGTTAGGTAGAATAAAAGATTTTATTTTTTGTATCACACACACATACTACTGCTGATACGGACTATTGACGCCGGACGCGACAAGTCATAATGAAGAAATGAAGAATTTGAAGATTGAAGCCTGAACTCCTGAACTTTCCACTCGTTCTACTTCCACTCCAGTTCCAGTAGTCCAGTCCAGCTAGCTAGACCGGTCCAACGGGTGAGCACTTTTCGTCTAAAAACGCCGTGCGATTTCGCGACTATAGTTAATCGGTCCAACGGGTACGATGGCATACCTCCAAAACGTGGCAAAGCTTATAATGGGCGGGAACGACGTCATCGCTGATGTAACAGCTGATTGATCCTCAGTAAACAACCACACTACATTATTTTGATGAACTTTCCACGCAAGGATTTAGTCCAGAAAACAGCTGTTTGCCGCCAGCTTATTCTGTTGGGGTTTCATTGCGTAATACTGTTCTGCAATGATTTTTACCGGACACCTATCAGCTGATTATACTGTATTTTCGTGGCAATTAGTGGTTATAAACAAAAACATAACCTCTCTCAGAGGTTATGACTAGTGTTTATTAGTCCTTTAGTTGGTGGAAATATATAAGGATTTGTACGGATTAAGTAGTATGGCGTAAACTATCGTACGTAACTCGTCCAAAATGTGTGTACCGGACTCTTATGGAAATCCCGTACTCGACTTCGTCTCGCACGGGAACGACCACGAAGTAGCGTAAAGTGCAGCCAACGTAACAAAGCCAAACGTATTTCATACTCCTGACGGGCAAAAAAAGGTCATATGTAATTTCTTGTAAATTTATTGTATACCATTTAAATAAATAAATGTCCACCGTCAAATGACTCCACGGTAAAGGTGGCCGTGCTCCACTCCACTCCACTACTTTTGCACGTTAACACGTCAACGTTAACAAGCATTTAGAAATGTAAATTTTCCATTAAATAATCTTAAACACAAATTTAGTGCTAACGGTGGGATTCAAACCTGGCACCTTCAGCCAACCTGGTACGCTATCCATTAGACCACCGAGGCCGATGGCTCCACAACGTATCGTTGCGGTAATAGTGTTCCCACCCTCAGCTAATCAGAAGGCTCCAAATCATCATCGTAGGCTCATCTATACTCTCTTGAGTAAACACCGAAAAAATCGAATGAAGGTTAATCAAAAAAATAGTTCTGTTTATTAAATATAATTTTTAATGCCTCAAATTAAATGTTATAGTTATTTAATTATAAAATTAAACTGTCATAACCTAACCAAATTTGCTGATAATGAAAAAATCTAATGCAGGTTTACTAATCGAAAAAATAGTTCTGTTCATAAAATAAAATTATAAATACCTCGAATTCAAATATATGATTGTATACTTTTAAAATTTAACTGACGTCTATAACCATACTTGCAGACAATAAAAAAATCCATTTAACAAGTTAGTGCCACCAGTGGGTTTCGAACCGGCTACCTCCAGATCATCAACCCGGTGCGCTATCCACTACACCACCGAGACCGATGCGATGGCTCTGCAACGTATCGTTGGGGACACCGAAACTGCCACGACGTTTTACGACCATGCTCCATACTGAAACTGCCACGGCAATTAGTGAGGATTATAAGGGTGTTTTTGAGAAGGCTAGAAACACTGAAACTGCCACGGCGGATTCCTCAGGTAGACGGGGAGAAACGGGAGACTTAAAATTCCCATTTCTGTCTTAACCTTTTAATTTCTTTCACAATAATACGTTGATTGGAAAAATAAGTGATTGATTTGCCCTTTCGTATTTATATTTTAGGATTTATTTTTATGTAATATAAGTTTTTAGTGTTGCGACTGTTAGAGTATTTACTTTATAAGAATTTATTCCGTCTCTTGAGAATATATTTACTTTATAATTATTCTGAAATATAATTATTCTGAATAATTATTTACCACTAAGAAACAAGTTTTATGTTCATTTACCACTTATATAACACTGCATTTTATATGATCTGTTCGACGCTTTTAATTACACTAGAGGTGATCAAATACTAATATAATACTGTAAAACTGTAATATTCAAAAATAGTTTTATTCGCCCAAGACGCTAGGTTGCAGAACTACAAATACTGTACCAACCTCCATGGTCTGCAGAGGGGCGTTCTCGTGGAATCTCAGTGGAATGCCCTCCTATTAGCTTGACTCATGTAATATTTTTCAAATTCGGTATTTCTCAACAGTTTTGTGCCATCCTTCAGAGAGTTAGTAGTAAGGGTGTTGGTGTGTTAGTTATACTTAGTTGATAGTCTTTCGATGGAGGATAAGATATTTGAAACGAAGAGAAAGGGTGCGGCGTTGTTAGTAGACGGCCACAGTTTTGTTATACAAAGTGTGGTGTTAGTAAGTGGGTTTGCTAGAGAAAACATCGGGGACTTTTTCCTGATAGTTAAAATTCACGCGCTATTCCCGGTTTCTAGGTTGGCAGAATTAAGTGACCCTGAATTATCACTACAAGTAGCCTAGGCTAATTAAGATTTATTTTTTACCAACCGTATCTAAAATGTATACTTATCAATTATGAAGTTTTTATCTGGTATTATTAATGTAAACCTGCACATTATTCGAACTTAATTGACTAGACCATACCTTACTACTAACTCTCTGAAGGATGGCACAAAACTGTTGAGAAATACCGAATTTGAAAAATATTACATCAAGCTAATAGGAGGGCATTCCACTGAGATTCCACGAGAACGCCCCTCTGCAGGCCATGGAGGTTGGTACAGTATAAACTTAATAAACTGGAAAGACTCGAACTTAATTCTGTGTATTCTAGTCATCACAAAGGATCTTATACTTCGACGCCAATTCCTAAGACAATTGAAACGCAGTGCGCGCAGTATTTCCAACTCATTGCTGAAAAGCATGTTTTCATAGTATTCCCAGCTCATTTCTAAATACATTACCTCCACAGCAGCCCAACAAATCAAAATATTAATAGTATAGGATGAAATCAATAAAATCGCCAAATATGATCAATATATACACAATTGTGTTTTATTTATACTTCAGGACACGTATCCTGTTGTGCTATTATTTGCATTAGATTATGTTTCTTCTTGTGCAATTTTGACGATGCCTACCTATACCTTGGTATATTTATAAACTGAAAACTTCAAATCTAATGATAAAATATGTGTTTATTGAGTTCTTTAATACCAGCAATTCACTATAACGGGTTAAGAGCATTCATATAATACATTTAGTAAGAAACACTTTACATTCCATTGCAATCTTAATCCATTAGAACATATTATTTAATTATTTCTGACTTTATCGGTAGTTAAATGACTTTTTCTATTGATACTTGATTTAAATAACTGCAAAGTTAGTATGGCCTCTTTTAAGTAGTGGCATGAAAAGCATTTAACTAAGTTATGAGCTAAGTAAAGTGTTGTGTTTCAAAATCGTCACTGTGATGAGTGAGGGATATTCTCATTCCCGTTTCTCCCTGCACGTTGCCAAACCAACCTCCCCTACCTGAGGAATCCGCCATGGCAGTTTCAGTGTTTCTAGCACTCTCAAAAACACTCTTATAATCCTCACTAATTGGCGTGGCAGTTTCGGTATGGATTATGATCATAAAACGTCGTGGCAGTTTCGGTACAGCCGTATCGTTACGGCAATGGCGTTCGCTCAAGCCGTGGTGGGCGGTGGTTTCCTGAGGGAAAGGAAATCTCTAAAACATACATAGAACCTCTTCCCAAAAATATGTGTTATTAATATTTTATTTACCACCACAGCCTGGTTCGGTGGGGCACACGGGAGGGATTATGGCTAACATATCTTGTAGTAATGTCAGCGTTCGCCGCTAGAACCGCTAAGTTAACAAAATTGAAATTAATTTTATAATTTTTAGTTATAAAATTAGCTTTTTTAATTATAAAATTAATTTTTAATCATAAAATTAATTTTAAAAATTTTAATTATAAAATTAAACTGTTATAACCTAACCTAGCCAACCAAACTTGCTGATAATATATAAAAAATATAATACAAATCAAATGAATGTTTACTTATAATTTTTAACTATAAAATTAGTTTTAAAATTTAGTATTATAAAATTAAACTGTCATAACCTAACCCAACCAACCTGCACACCAGTCTGAAACGCTAACAACTATGCCACGAGCCACGACCGCCGCTGAAAAAGCAGAAATCTACCCTGTCTTTAAAAAGGGCGACAAACATGAACCCAATAATTACAGACCAATTTCAAATCTGCCAGTCATATCTAAACTGCTTGAGCGTGCTATTTATAACCAATTATCTACCCACCTTCAAAACTACAATCTTTTATCTCCATGCCAACACGGTTTCAGAAAGGGTCATAGTACCAACCCGGCAATAGCTCATCTATGCAAAACCATAAATGATCTGTGGGAAAATAAGTGTAGCGCTTCAGCCCTTTTTTTGGATCTACAAAAAGCCTTTGACAATTTAAACTGGGAAATTTTTCTTCAGAAACTTAAACTGTTCAATATCACGGACCTAGCTCTAAATTGGGTTAAGAATTACCTTGATGACAGGCAACAATTTGTCGAATTAGGCTATCAGTACCACAACACAATTGGAACCGTCAAATCATCCTTAATGAAAACAGTGGTAGGAGTCCCACAGGGATCGATATTGGGTCCTTTGTACTTTTTAATTTATATTAATAGCCTACCAGAGTCACTGAACCATAATCTGAGAACCATACTCTACGCAGACGATACAACAATAGTAATCCCTACAAAGTACCATGAGAACAATAGCAACATAGTCAATTCAACCCTGGACGAGGCTACCTCTATCTGCAAGTCTCTTAAACTCAGCATTAACACATAAGTTCACATGCACATAAGTTTCAAGCCAAACAACAGTAATAGAGCTGATGAGGACTGGCAAGGATTGAAGATTCCCGTTACCGCATCAACAAAATTCTTGGGAGTTATTATAGACCAAAACTTGAGTTGGCAAGATCACACCGACCATCTCTGCAAAAAATTAGCTACGGCTCACCACGTAATTAGACGCATTAGAGCTATAACTGATGAAAACACTGCAATTC